TGGAGTGGCTCATGTATTATTTTTGTATTTTATGCTGTATTATTTCATGTCAATGAGGTGAGACTCTAATAAATAATCTGTCTGTCTGTCTGTCACGTTTTACCTAACTGCGAGTTTCCGCACGTCTTCATGAGGGATGGATATTGCTCCTAAAGTGAGAACTCGGATGTTTTAGGCACTGTATAAGAACTGTGAATTCAACGAGCAAGAAACTAAACAAGAGAATATATTTATAAGAGGAAAAACTGGATCTTAAAGTCAGGAGTCCCATGGTGAATTTGTGATTCGAACACCGGAAGCCGAAAATATAATAATGATAATAATGATAATAATGAGTCATCTTCTATAGCGCACAGTCTCCAAACACCAAGTTATTGCTCGCGGATCTTCACGGGTCTCATCTGACTACGAACACATATGACAGAAACAGAAAGATTGTTGCATGTGCTCTTTTAATGAGATTTGTTTTCTATCGCGCCTTTTCCAGTCTAGGTATCCCGCTCACAGCAGACAATCTGATTATTATTACCCCGGATAACCCAAGCTGACTGTTAGGCACTAGAAAGTTATAGTCACTTTATCCAATCGGGTACCCATTTTCGTGTGGGTGAGACCACATGCATCACATGTGCTTCGTGGTGGGGCAGAAGAAATCATTCCCTGCTGCCATACAAGAGGTACTACTACACAGCTATCAGCTATCCTGTTAAGGTAAGTTATCTCAGGTTGACGGAAGGCAAGGGGAAATGCTGCCATACAAGAGGTACTACTACACAGCTATCAGCTATCCTGTTAAGGTAAGTTATCTCAGGTTGAAGGAAGGCAAGGGGAGATGCTGCCATACAAGAGGTACTACTACACAGCTATCAGCTATCCTGTTAAGGTAAGTTGTCTCAGGTTGAAGGAAGGCAAGGAGAGATGCTGCCATACAAGAGGTACTACTACACAGCTATCAGCTATCCTGTTAAGGTCAGTTGTCTCAGGTTGAAGGAAGGCAAGGAGAGATGCTGCCATACAAGAGGTACTACTACACAGCTATCAGCTATCCTGTTAAGGTAAGTTATCTCAGGTTGAAGGAAGGCAAGGGCAGATGCTGTCATACAAGAGGTACTACTACACAGCTATCAGCTATCCTGTTAAGGTCAGTTATCTCAGGTTGAAGGAAGGCAAGGGGAGATGCTGCCATACAAGAGGTACTACTACACAGCTATCAGCTATCCTGTTAAGGTAAGTTGTCTCAGGTTGAAGGAAGGCAAGGGGAGATGCTGTCATACAAGAGGTACTACTACACAGCTATCAGCTATCCTGTTAAGGTAAGTTATCTCAGGTTGAAGGAAGGCAACGGGAGATGCTGCCATACAAGAGGTACTACTACACAGCTGTCAGCTATCCTGTTAAGGTCAGTTGTCTCAGGTTGAAGGAAGGCAAGGGCAGATGCTGTCATACAAGAGGTACTACTACACAGCTATCAGCTATCGTGTTAAGGTCAGTTATCTCAGGTTGAAGGAAGGCAAGGGGAGATGCTGCCATACAAGATGTTCTACTACACAGCTATCAGCTATCCTGTTAAGGTCAGTTATCTCAGGTTGAAGGAAGGCAAGGGGTGAATAACCTACGGAAGTACACTTTTTAAGGAAAGTAATGAAACACAAAATGTGTACGATGCCGACGTCCTGCTTCTGTTCACCGAAAATAAAACATGTTGAGAGAGAACAGTCAGGTGTGCGAGAAAGGATGGAGACAGCACAGCACAGGTATAAGACTCAATAACTCTGTCGACACTTGTGCTCGTGCTTCTTGTACGCCTGGCTGTCCCTTTCTCTGCATTCCCCCCTCGTAACAAATAGTGAACTGTGTCAATATTTTAATGATAGTTTGTTAAACAACTCTTTTATCATTAGGATATAAATTCGGCAAAAGACTCACGGAGTTGGTCTGATGTTTAATAATGAGCAGCGTTTCATTGAGTATAATATGTTTATCAGTTTTCGAGTTAGATTGCAATTCATCGGTCCGCTTTTGAGCCAAACGGACTATAGCATTAAAGTCTCCGCCACAGAGTACATAAACCAGAAACAATTTCTAAAAGTGACTCTTGAAATGATATTATTCCATTTCTACATTCTGTATATAACTTATCATACCATATGGAACTTTCCGGTTGAATACAAAAGCAGATAGGATGTCATATTCCTGCCCAAACATGGCATGGTCAAACAATATAAATACAGCATTAGTGTAATTATATGCCATTTCATGCATCTATACTGATTGCGTATCAATGCTGACATCCCACCAGAAGGTTTTCCGAAAGTAGATATTTATCTGCATCTTTAGAGATACATTTATAATCAGGAAAGTTAGTTTCTAAATCTAAATCGTAACACCGTGTTTCTGTTATTCCAATGATATCGAAACACTTAAGGTATTTTATGAAGTTTATTTGCAATCTCCGAAATGTTCCCGAACAAAATATTTACACACTCAGTAATGCTGGGTGAAGGGTGCTGAAGTGCACTTAAGTGAGTGTATTGGCCCTGGCCACACAGCTGGTGGGACCGTTTTCTGTGACAGCGACGCGAGGCGGAGCTGAGACCCCGGCGAGAGCCGGTGTCAGCCCGATCTGTCGACAAATGAAAAATAGAATGTTGCTAATCGTCGACAGAACAAAAAAAACCCGGAGTGTCGACATCGCGAGGTCAACATACCGTGACGGTGTTAATTAGTGAAAGAGAATGTTTGCTTAGTGATTTGCAAGTGGCTATGTTCGTTTCACAAGTAAATGAATTACGTTAATTATAGAGAATGTCTTTTTAACAATTTGTAAGAGAATTAAGTTTGCAAACAAACTATTATTTTACGTTATGCGATTGGAAGGATTACCATTTTGGAATTTAACATGCAAAAAGAATACCGGTAAGAAACAGAGCTTACAACTTATTTTGTCTTGGGAGTAGGAGGGTTATTGATTTGCTGTTGAAAACATTTATTTGGATACATTTGGATTGCGTTACTACCACCTGGGTAGAAGGTCCATGGACTCTGCCAACTTGGAATCATTTTGAAAATGATGGACACAGAACTAACAATAATTTGGAAGGTTGGCACAACAAAATCAACAAGTATGCCATAAAGACACATCCGAATGTGTTTGGGGTTGTGCGAATGCTGCCAAAAAGAACAGTCAGCTGCTGAAGTTACATTTCAGCAGATCCAAGGACAGCAGAGATCCCACCCGAAAATGTCGCTACCGAATCATCGACGCTAGGATTCGGTCCTTGAAGGCCCACCTTCTTGCCAACCTTCTTGAACTACACAGACCATGTGTCAGAGTTGCTTCATCCTGGCTGAACATTACAGATTAGAAGAAATATCTGGACTCATGTTTTATATATTTATTGCTTCTACACATGTAGAAATCGCTTATTTCTATAATACACAGACACAAATATATCGTGTGAGATTTATGAAATAAATATACAAATATGTTATATTGTGTGACATATGATACATACATGTTGTTATATTGACTAAATAAATATATTGTCTTCTATATATATCGCTCTCTGTTTTAATTGGTTTGTTAATTTCGAGAACACTGGGCGTGAAGACACTCATGTAGAACTTCATCTCCCTTTCCCCGGACTGTCGACAAGTAATTTGAAAGGGTTATTTGTTGCTGTCGACAGTCCGGGTATAAACCGCGAGAGCCCTGGGCACCGCTCTTCCTGGACGTGTCTCTAGCTCGTCGTGAGGTCAGTCTCTTCGTCTTGGATCATCCCCAGCTCGTCGTGAGGGTGAGTCCCTTCGTCTTGGGTCATCCCCAGCTCGTCGTGAGGGTGAGTTCCTTCGTCTTGGATCATCCCCAGCTCGTCGTGAGGGTGAGTCCCTTCGTCCTGGATCATCCCCAGCTCGTCGTGAGGGTGAGTCCCTTCGTCCTGGATCATCCCCAGCTCGTCGTGAGGGTGAGTCCCTTCGTCCTGGATCATCCCCAGTTCGTCGTGAGGGTGAGTCCCTTCGTCTTGGATCATCCCCGGCTCGTCGTGAGGGTGAGTACCTTCGTCCTGGATCATCCCCAGCTCGTCGTGAGGGTGAGTCCCTTCGTCTTGGATCATCCCCAGCTCGTCGTCTTGGATCATCCCCAGCTCGTCGTGAGGGTGAGTCCCTTCGTCTTGGATCATCCCCAGCTCGTCGTGAGGGTGAGTCCTTTCGTCTTGGATCATCCCCAGCTCGTCGTGAGGGTGAGTCCTTTCGTCTTGGATCATCCCCAGCTCGTCGTGAGGGTGAGTCCTTTCGGCTTGGATTATCCCCAGCTCGTCGTGAGGGTGAGTCCTTTCGTCTTGAATCATCCCCAGCTCGTCGTGAGGGTGAGTCCTTTCGTCTTGGATCATCCCCAGCTCGTCGTGAGGGTGAGTCCTTTCGTCTTGCATCATCCCCAGCTCGTCGTGAGGGTGAGTCCCTTCGTCCCCGATCATCCCCAGCTCGTCGTGAGGGTGAGTCCTTTCGTCTTGGATCATCCCCAGCTCGTCGTGAGGGTGAGTCCTTTCGTCTTGGATCATCCCCAGCTCGTCGTGAGGGTGAGTCCTTTCGTCTTGGATCATCCCCAGCTCGTCGTGAGGGTGAGTCCTTTCGTCTTGGATCATCCCCAGCTCGTCGTGAGGGTGAGTCCCTTCGTCCTGGATCATCCCCAGCTCGTCGTAAGGGTGAGTCCTTTCGTCTTGGATCGTCCCCAGCTCGTCGTGAGGGTGAGTCCCTTCGTCCTGGATCATCCCCAGCTCGTCGTAAGGGTGAGTCCCTTCGTTTTGGATCATCCCCAGCTCATCGAGGAGGTCAGTCTCTACGAGCTGAATCGTCCCTAGTAGGGGTGAGTCTTGTCGTCCCGACTCGCCCCGAGTTATTTACTAGATACAGTACACCCAGTTCACAAATTTAGATTCTTCCAGCACTCAATGTATAAACCCTTACACTAAAAGAGTCGGACGGTATTCTAACACGTGTCTTTACCACTTTCCTTGGCGCTTTAGCTCCAGCATGTAGTGCAAAAATATCCGAGCTTTAACAAAGTTGACCCCAGGACCATAGTGCACACCATCCACACTCCTCACTCCTTTCGTCATATTGAAGGTATCAAAAAACGGGACACTGGACGCTCCCAGGAAGTCCTTCATATACACGTTGAAGGTTTCTGCGTGTTCATTGTCTGATGTAGGTACAACTCGTCTGTGGAACAGGCCAAAATAATGAAAACCTGACCATATCAGTCTGGGCCAGGTATTGTTCGCTCGTAAGGAGATCACCTCCAAGGCATACTTTGTCATTGCAAATTTGTTAAATTGTTGCCATACACCAGCACCGAAGAAGATGATAGATTTTGGTTTTCCCACAATCTGTTCCACGTCCTTTTTCATCTTAGGAATGTCCAAACTCTGTGGATAATGACGGAACAGCACAGTTACTGTCCCATTGCAGAGTGTCGGGGTGTAGTCAAGAAATCTCCGACAGTTGCGTGTGGGAAAGACATACATTCCAGAACATTTCTTCTTAACATCTGAAAACAAAATATTGTAAACATTCAATTAAACTGCATTGAAACAATACTGTGTCACTAAGAAATGAGGTTTATCCATCGAATAAAAAGCAACATTCGTTTGTGTATATATGCAATCTATAGTAACAATGAACAAACAATTTGATACATACCCTCAGGTGCATCTGGTCGAAGTCCGCCATATTGATTATCTCCCTTTAGTATGATGATGAGGGCTAGGAACACCATTCTGACAAGGGAATCCCCATAGAAGTGGTACGTGCCTCCCTGGAGCAGGTCACAGGCAGCTTTGGGGGTGAAGATTTCCACTTGACATCTAAGCATATAAAACCTATGTTTATTTCACAGAGGAACCTTCAGCGATTGAGTTTTACGCCTCTTGTAGCAATATTCCAGCAATATCATGGCGGGGACTCCAGAAATTACCATCACACTGTGAAGCAATCGTGAGCAATCGAACCCGGGATTCCATTATGACGAGCAGACGCTTTAACCATTAGGCTATCCCACCGCCCCATGAACCCATAACTTGGGGGAATATGTTCTTACCTAGATATCTGAACGCATGAACATATTCACTAGATTGTCGCCCCTGAAGATCCGAGCTAGAAATGATCTTCAGTATCCCATGCTTGTCATAATAGGCGACTAAAGGGATCGGGTGGTCAGGCCCGCTGACTTGGTTCACTAAACTAAACTCACTCACTGGATTGACTGTATGCATGACATAACACAGATGGGATGTTGCTGAGAGCGGCGCTAAACACTTCGTTAAGTCGTGAGTAGACTTTACCAGGACATTTGTTGCTGGCATATTGATTTCGATGGATCGGAACGTTTCCGCGATACTTAACCGCATAATTCATATTGTGAACTTGTAAAAAATATTAATAATGATAGTCAATTGTTAGTCGATGCAAAGGAAAGTTGAGAAACAGACATTTCATATTTCAATTTTCCATTTATATACTGTATATATTTTAGCAATAGTTTTACCTGGAATCTCTTGGAATCCATTTTGAATATTCAGCATGTATCTGTGGTCGAAGGTCATGGCAGTTCTTACAAGCACATTCTTTAACCGTTTTCATCTGACACTTGTTGTTATAGCAACAAGGGTTACCTCCCCTGGGGTTACACAATGCTCGGGTCCAGTCAGCCATTTTGTCTTTTGACTTCCATGGATAGTAGCCAAGGTTTCCGCATCTTCTATCCGTCAATTCGAATTTATCGCTTCCATTTAAAGCGTACAGGCCTTGTAGTAAAAATGCTTCAATCTCATCTTCCTCTTTCTTTGAGATATTCCGTGTTGCCCAGGAACCTGCCACCATATACTTTAGTACATCTGGACATGTTTGAGAAAGTGAGTGCGGCTTTATCCGCGGCTGATAAATCGTAATTGGTTGGTAAGATTTGTATACAATCACCAAGGCTCCAACAGAGAACAGCAAGAAGAGTTGGAATGTGATGCTGGAAGAAGTCTTCATGGTTCGGATTCTGAAAGAAATGAAAGAAAAGAGATTTATATTCCAATGCTATCCATGGATGAAAATAAACAACAAGTGTTAGTCCATCAATTCACATAAGTGATACATTGCAGGCATTTGTCTTCACGTTTGGCCTGAGGCATATTTCCCATGTTGCACCGGTTTTATCAACGCCTTTGTGGCTGAATAATGGTACATATTTTACCGTCTTTGTTTCAGTTTCCTGTGATATAGCTGACGGGGTCTACCCACTTACCGAACTCTTATTGTTTCCGTAGAAGAAATCACTGGGGCGTGATAATCCCCTTTAATGCCTTATTTAGTTATGTCACAGCCAAAGCAGGGGTAACGCATTCGCCCTGCACAGTCACTGACCCGTAACTGTTTATCTCTTTTAATCCCCCCAGTATGGGTAAGTGGGAATGGGCCGTCCAACCCTCTGACCACAGTGAAGGGACAAAGAGGCTTAACAGTGCATTCCTTAACTTTAGTCAGCTTGTCAGCCTGGGGATTATCATGCCCCGGTGATTTCTTCTACTGAAACAATAGGAGTTGGGTAAGTGGGAAGACCCCCGGACGCAGGAGATGCTCATGAAGGTGTCTACAACATAACCACTCACGACGTCAGGGCATCATGCCAGACAGAGAGAGAATTGTTTATTTACGTCTCACTCTATCCAATGTTTGCATGACACGTGTACTATATATACTATGAGGCTATAAAGAATGACATGTATTTTACACTACTTCTTGTTCATTCATTCTTACTGATATTTGATGGAAATAACAACCACAAAACAGGAAGGTTCGGAAATGACCGGCCGACCGGGTGTGGGAAATTACCGGCCAGATATATATTTGGGTGAGATATTGTCCGGATGGGGGAATGACTGGCCAGATATATATTTGGGTGGGATATTGTCCGGATGGGGGAAATGACCAGCCAGATATATATTTGGGTGGGATATTGTCCGGATGGGGAAAATGACCGGCCAGATATATATTTTGGTGGGATATTGTCCGGCAGGGGAAATGACCGGCCAGACATATATTTGGGTGAGATATTGTCCGGGTGGAAGAAATGACTAGGCAGATATATATTTGGGTGGGGTAGTGTCCGGATGGGGGCTATGACCGGCCAGATATATATTTGGGAGGGATAGTGTCCGGATGGGGGAAATGACCGGCCAGATATATACAGAACAACACCTTCACTGATATAATATTGCCAGCACCTAGACTCCACCATGAAACCCCTGCAGATCCGGTTAGAATTGATCTTCAGTAACCTATTGCCAGCACCTAGACTCCACCATGGAACCCCTGCAGATCCGGTTAGATTTGATCTTCAGTAACCTATTGCCAGCACCTAGACTCCACCTTGAACCCCCTGCAGATCCGGTTAGAATTGATCTTCAGTAACCTATTGCCAGCACCTAGACTCCACCTTGAACCCACTGCAGATCCGGTTAGAATTGATCTTCAGTAACCTATTGCCAGCACCTACACTCATCCATGAAACCCCTTGCAGATCCGGTTAGAACTGATCTTCAGTAACCTATTGCCAGCACCTAGACTCCACCATGAAACCCCTGCAGACCCGGTTAGAATTGATCTTCAGCAACCTATTGCCAGCACCTAGACTCCACCATGAAACCCCTGCAGATCCGGTTAGAATTGATCTTCAGTAACCTATTGCCAGCACCTAGACACACCCATCCACCATGAAACCCCTGAAGATCCGGTTAGAATTGATCTTCAGCAACCTTTTGCCAGCACTTAGACTCCACCATGAAACCCCTGCAGATCCGGTTAGAATTGATCTTCAGTAACCTATTGCCAGCACCTAGACTCCACCATGAAACCCCTGCAGATCCGGTTAGAACTGATCTTCAGCAACCTTTACACACAATACTGCAAACTTTCATTTTGCAACCGGATTAAAGTCCAGTTATAAATAAATACCTAATGGTAGGAGAAATAGAAGTATATGCAGTAAATCTGGGAAGAAAATGGTTATAATTACCTGATGGTAGGAGAAATAGAAGTATATGTAGTAAATCTGGGGAGAAAAAGGTTATAATTACCTGATGGTAGGAGAAGTAACCTTGTAAATCTGGGGAGAAAAAGGTTATAATTACCTGATGGTAGGAGAAGGAACCTTGTAACCGGTCTTTGACTTTGCCACTGCTACCACCCGTGCTTTTCCGTGCTGTCCGAAACCACATACATGGGTGGTTCACACGCGGTTAGGTCCCGTAAGTCCGTCCATTGGACGGGTGTATAAAGAAACTGGTCGGTTTGCAGGATTATGTCGTCAAGGTCCACTAGGTCTGGACAGTGGGCAGTCGTTGTTTTTACAACGTTACGGTTAATGCTAAAACCTTCACAGGAACATAACTGAACAAGGATCACGCTGTAAAATGTCATTTTTACTTGTGCATTCTTTGGGACAGTAATTTGGTTTAAACATATTTTTATTCATAAAAATGAATTGGGATTGGTGAACAAGCTATACAGCTTATATCAACACCGCTCCCATACAACATATAATACAAAATTTAAGTGAAGCATGTGTCGTCATCGATAGTGACTTTCATATAAACAATACACGTGTACAAATTACATCAAAAACAAGTACCACTATCATCCAAGTAAACATAAATAGAGAGTTGCGGTTTGGTGAGTCTAACAATCCATTTCTAGAAAGATAAACCAATTATGAGAAGTGGTTTTTTTTAAGTTCATTATTTTTCTGCGAAAATTTAAAGCGTTGTGTCTTGAAGATGAAATTGTGGACGCATTCAACTATTTTCTGGTTTTCACAGTGGGTAAGTTCTTTGTTTCCGTTAATATTGGTATTCAGGTTATAGCCGGTAGTATAATAATACACATTAGTTCTTATCTGAATATAGTTACCGCAATTAAAAACAATAGTGTAAGGCGTTTTCACTCTGATCTCCACAAGAGCAACATGGACTGTCTATTAATGCCTGATATACTTCAAAAACGCCTACAAATAACTGATAAAAACAACAGAACAGAGCACTCTAGCCATCATTGCCAATTAACCCCATCTGCCACGTATACTTTGTTCCGCTTCCTCAACCTTGGCTTCCTCCCATTTTATTGTATTATTGCCCCATCTGCTATGTACACCTTGTTCCGCCTCCTCAATATTGGCTTCCTCCCATTGTTATTGTATTATTACCTATCCCTTTGTTGTTGTTGTTGTTAATGCCTTCGATCTATTCCCTAATGGTGTCTTACTTAATCCCTGTTGCATGTTTATAGGTCGGTTCTGTGCTTTACTACTGTACTCTTGCTTGACAACGGTATAAGAAGCTATACCGAAACGTCGCATCATAACAAATAAATAAGTTGTTATCCATAAAGTATCATACTTTTCTATCACAAACCGTTGCTGTGTACTTCAAGGTAGTAAACCGGATACACAGCACAAGGGGTTTCTACGTGTAAGGGAAATGAATTGATTTTCGAAGTTAATGCGGTTCTATTATATTTATATTAAGTTTTTTACGTTGGTTATCAATTGCCACCGTCCTTACCGTTGTCAGTGTGCACATGAGATGATACAGTCCAATGAACTTAGTGAACGGTTGCCCCAAAGGACAAACAAACAAATGATCGCTGTCTGAGAATGCGTGACACTACAGTGGTCATACCATTGGACTAAATCAGTCTCCCAGGCTACCACCAGTATACACCCGTCTGGTTGGAATAGACAACAGAGGTGAGAATTACCCTCTCTTGTCAACGCTTATCCCTGACATCTTACCAAAAGAAAGTAAGTAGATCTGTCTGACACGACGTTTCCGAGTATATTCTTGCTACAGTCCGTTTGAGTCAGAAACGGACAGATGAATTGCAAATTTTATCATTGTACAAAATTGCCACATAAATATAAATAGTACACACGTTTATCATATACTAATACTCAACAGCTTTCTTATATTTGAAAATTCCGTACTCGACCGAAAAAGTTCTTTAAGAAACTATCATTAAAACTTTGACACAGCTCACTATTTGCTACGAGGGAGGAGTGCAGAGAAAGGGACAGCCAGGTGTACGAGAAAGGGTGGAGACGGCACAGCACAGGCTAATGAATCAATGACTTGATGGGCACTTGTGCACGCGCTTCTCTAACACCTGGCTGTCCCTTTCTCTGCACTCCTCCCTCGTAACAATTAGTGAAATGTGTCAAAATTTTAATGATAGTTTCTTAAAGAACTTTTTTGGTGGAGTCCGGAACATTTTCAAATATAAGAAAGCTGTTGGGTATTAGTAAATGATAAACATGTGTACTAATTATATTTATGTGGCAATTTTGTACAATGATAAAATTTGCAATTCATCGGTCCGTTTCTGACTGAAACGGACTGTACTTACATATTATGTGAAGACTGACTGACTGACTGAGTTTGGTTTTTACGCCGCTTTTAGCAATATTCCAGCAACATCACGGCGGGGGACACCAGAAATGGGCTTCACACATTGTGCCCACGTTAGGATTCGAACCCGGGTCTTCGGCGTGACGAGCCAACGCTTTAACCATAAGGCTACCCCACCGCCCCATTATGTGAAGAAAATTATATTCCGCAAAGTCGTGTCATTCAAATGGTTTACTCTCATTCTGCCAACATTTCATAAAACGTGTATGCAGAATGATAAAAATCAGGCCACCCCTAATTTAGAAATGAACTTGCCCATGACAATTACATAACATAGTCTTCATTGTATTCATATTTTATCTATAGTAGATAACATGATATATATGAAATATAGACATTGTATACCAGACGTAAACCAGAAATCATTTTAATTGTAATGATCATC